AGGACACTCTTGATGAGTTGTAGCCTCCCTGTATATGATAGTAATTTGGCTGTCCAAGATGTGATTATTCCCACTAGTTTGTCAATAAGAGGTTGACACTGAATTATTGACACTCTTTTAGAGCTTAAAGGTACTCCAAGATGTCGTATTGTCAACTCCCCTCTTTGCATTCTAAGGAAATCCAATATTTCTTTTTGAATGTCTTGTGAAACTCCACCAAAGAAGATGGAACTTTTCTGCTTATTAATTTCTAGTCCTGATGCTCTTGAGAAATCCAGAAAACACTTGTATAGCAGCAAAGCTGAGACTGTACCTCATCTGCAAAACAATAAGAGGTCATCTGCAAATCCAAGTTGCATAATTTGCATCTTGGCACATTTGGGATGAAAGTTGAAGTCCGGGATACAGTACAGTGCCTTCACTCTTTTATTGAGGTATTCCATTGCTAGTACAAATAGAAAGAGGGATAGGGGATCCCCTTGTCTAAGCTCCTTTGTGGCCTCAAATGGTTGATTTGGTGAACCATTCAAGATGATGGTGTAAGTAACACTTCATACAAAAGTCATTATCCATTTCACAAATTTCTCTGGAAATGCTAATGCACACAAACTTGTTCAAGAAAAGGCCATTCAAGTGAATCATATGCCTTCTGCATGTCCAGCTTCATCATGCATCATGGTGAGACCCCTTTCCTTCCATACCCTTTTACTAACTCATGGCTCGGTATAATATTATCCATAATAACTCTTCCAGGAACAAAAGCAGATTGATTCTTATCGACTAAATCATCCATGACTCCTTGTAGTCAACTAGTCAGGACCTTTGAAATGATTTAGTAGATTGTAGTGCAGCAGGAAATATGTCTATATTCCTTTATGGTAGCAGGATTTCTGACTTTGGGTATAAGAGTTATTGATGTACAGTTAAATGGTTTGAACATTTGTGATGATTGAAAGAAATCCAGTACAGTTTGTGTTACCTCCTCCCCTATGATATTCCATGATTTCTTGAAGAATACTAGATTGAGTCCATCATATCCTGGGGCCTTCATGTCATCTATATCTTGCAAACATTTCCATACCTCATTCCTTGTGACAAGTTGTATCAATTGAAGTTATTGTTCTCTTTTGAGCATTGTACCTCTTTGCATGACATTTGGATCTATTGCTGGGATTGCAGGAGCATTTGACCCTAGCAACTATTTATAATAGCCAAGTATTTCAGTCTCTATTTCCTCCTCCATATGTACCTGAACCCCTAGATTAGTAGTGAGAGCATGGATTCCATTTAAGGTGTTCTTGTTCTTCATATGTGCAAAGAAATATGCAGATTTAGAATCTCCCAGCTTCAGCCATTGTACCCTTGACCTTTGCCTATGTATACTTTCTTTAATAAATATCCACTTCTCTAGATTACTTTTCGGTTCTTTTTCCTTCTCAACTAAATCTGTATTCAGCTTTCTACATCCCATTTTCTCCTGCACTTCATGTAGTTCCCTTCTTATTTCTTTGATTCTGCCATCAACACCCTTGTATTGTTATGTGTTGAGGCCCTTAATAACTTGCTTAACTCTCTTGAGTTTATTCCACACTCCTTGTAATTTTCCAATATCTCCAGTTGTACTCCATGCTTGTTCTACTTCTGATAGGAATTGGGGGTGATCAGCTAGGCAGTTAAAGAATCTGAACAAACTAGCTTTCTCTCTGGATTTGTGAGATCTCAGCTTTAGGGGTGAATGGTTAGAGAAAGATGGTTCTAGATTTTGTATATATAGATTGGGCATTGTCATCATCTAATTTGTGTTAACTATTCCCCTGTCTATCCTGCTATAAGTATGATTATTTGTCCATGTATAGTATTTGCCAATAGTAGGTAATTCATTCATGCCAGTGTCATTCATGAATTCCCTGAAATCCTTTGTTTCCATATCTTGAATTACAGTACCATACTATCTATCTTGGCTATGAAGTACTGAATTGAAGTCTCCCATTGCTATCCATGGTCCCTGTTGTAAACTGTTTATTTGCCTCAGTTTTTGCTACATACTCGACCTATCTTTAATAATATGAAACCATATACTGCAGTAAAACCAAATGCTATCAATCTTGAGTGAGTTCTGACTTTTCCATGTATGTACTGGCAATCCATGTCAATTAGTTCAAAGTCAAAAATTCTTGGGTCCCAAAGAATCCATATTCTGCTCTTATTGTTGTTGCTGAAGTTTGATATCAGTGCCAACCTGGTGCAATTTTGTTGATAGTATTACTAGATTTTTGCTCCTTTATTCTGTGTCCTATTAGTTCAATCACTGCCTTTTTATTCTGCTTTATTGACTCCTTTGTCTCCTTTTGCTTGTATGCTTTATTTATTCCTCTAAACATTCCATGTAATTACACTCATACTGGGATGAATTGCGTATCATGATATAGCTCTTGTCCCCTGTATGGCCCCGTCTGCACATTGCTTGGTCCTGGATCATTGGTTGTGTTCTCTTGTCCCCTTTCTAAGGACTGGAATCCGTTACTGTCACCAAGAGCCTTGCCTTCAGCTAGCTTTGTTTTTGCCATCCTTGTTGCTGATTTCCCACTTACTATTGTCCACCCTTCTTCTGCAGGTTGTTCAATAGCTGCACTAATCTTCATTGTACTGTCCTTTAGATGTTTTGGTGTTTCCACCCTCATTATTTGCTCCTTCTCCTGATCATTCTCCATAGGTACAGCCCTCTCAATCTTTTGCTAGATTTGCTTGACTTTATTCCCCCTCCCTCTATATGTCTGCCTTTGTGGCTGCTGCATTATGTTCTCATTGCCATTGTGGCCTATCTGTAGACATTTGGTGCAGTATGTAGGTTCCCAGTCATAGGCTATCTCTTGCTCAATTGTTCTCCCCATTGGATCCTGCAGCTTCACCCTTCTAGGTTGGGGTTTAGTAATGTCTATCTCAATCAGCATTCTAGCATAAGATATTCTTACTATACTAGTTATACATTCATCAGCATATACTGGATTACCCAGGGTGCTTCCAATTTTGCTTAAAGCCTTTACACTCCAGCAATTCAGGGGAAGATTTGGAAACTTCACCCATAGTATGGTTCTAAGTACTTCTTCTTGCAAATTGAGGTCTGGTATCCATGCTTTCATTACAATGGGACGATTGTTTATGGTATGATGCCCAATATATAAGACTTGGTTTCTTTCCTCCAAATTTGCAAATCGAATTACAAAATAGTCTTCATTATGATAATAGATTTGAGGTTTCATGGAGTACTTACCCACTAAGTTAAGGAATTGTTCCATTGCTCCTATGGATGGTGAATTCCCAATGACATACAGAACAAGTGTTGTGCTCCATTTTTCATTTTCCTGCTCAACATCCTCTAGGTCTAATTGCACAATTTTCTACCCATCTTGTATTATTGGTGCAATATATTGAAGATTCATACCTCTCGATGCCAGCTTATTCCCTGCTAAAACATTTGCCCATAATTGAATTCCACTTGCCTTCACCAATTGGTTAGTGTTTTTGGTATTTTCAGCCTTATCAGATTTGCACGGCACTGTTGCATTGGTTTTGGTGTTTTTGAGTTCATCTCTTCCGTTCCACTCCCAGATCTACGGTCTATTGCACTACTACTTTCAGGTGTTGCTATCACTGCTTTCTGCTTGCCATTGTTGATTGCTGGATCTGAAACTATACTGCTCTGTTCATTCGTCCTGTTCCTCGAAGTGGTGTTTTCAGTTGGCTCCTCAATTCTCACCCCTTTGGGTGAAACAAAAAGTTCCATTACTGCCTTCTTTGCATCAGTGGACGGAAATTTTGCTGAGTTCCGTTTAGGTCGTCCTCTTCCTCCCATGGTTTCTAGCTGCGTAAGTTACCTAAGCCACATTAACATGCACCGAGAGAAAACTTCAGAAGAGAGAGGATCAAGTTTTTTGGGAAGCATATTATTATTAATAAAAGAATTAAATATGCACGAAAACAGAAAAGAAATAAAGAAAATGTTATAAATATATTATATTATGGATGTTCATTTAGTACTCCGTTGTAAATAAGCTTTCTGAAGAAGCTTATCCATATGGGACTCCGCCGTAAATATGTTTATCTATTTAGTACTCTATTGGAAATAAGCCTCCTGAAGAAGCTTATTACTTCGGTACCCGGTTATGGATAAATATTACCCCCAGTAGAAGATTATCCATACCGGGTATAATAAGCTTATCATTTCGATACTCCGTTATGGATAAACATTACCCCCGGTAGAAGATTATCCATACCGGGTACAATGAGCTTATCCTTTCAGTAATCCGTTATAGATAAATATTACCCCCAGTAGAAGATTATCCATACCGGGTACAATGAGCTTATCCTTTCAATACTCCGTTATGGATAAACATTACCCCCAGTAGAAGATTATCTATACCTGGAACAATGAGCTTATCCTTTCAGTACTCCATTATGGATAAACATTACTCTCAGTAGAAGATTATCCATATCTGGTATGTAGCAGCTTACAGTAGTAGCTTACACATCAGCTTCCTTTCTTCTATAAATAGAAGAGATTTCAGTTCATTATGTACATCAGTTTGGAATTCGAATAATATATCAGTTTCTCTCTATACTTGTCTTTACTTTACAGTCTTTATTTTATAACACGTTATCAGCACGAGACTCTGCCATCTCGAGCAAATACTTTGAAAGTATCTGAGGTACGAACTTTCTTTTTCTATATAATGTCAAATCTTTCTAAACTTGAATTTGTAGCCCTGGATATATCGGGAAAAAGCTACATGTCTTAAATGCTTGATGCTGAAATTCATCTTGATGCGATGGGTCTGGAAGACACCATCAAGGATAAAAATCAGGCATCAAACCAAGACCGTGCCAAAGCAATGATATTCCTACGCCATCACCTTGATGAGGGCCTGAAAATGGAATATCTTTCTGTTAAAGATCCAGTCATACTGTGGAATAATTTGAAAGATAGATATGACCACCTGAAGATGGTCGTTCTTCCACAGGCACATTATGATTGGACTCATCTAAGGCTACAAGATTTTAAATCTATCAGTGATTATAATTCTGCTATGTTCAGAATTATTTCCCAATTGAAATTATGTGGTGATAATATTACTGATCATGATATGTTGGAGAAAACTTTCACCACTTTTCATGCCTCGAATATGCTCCTGCAGCAGCAATATCGAGAGATGGGATTCAAAAAGTATTCTAAACTTATCTCACATCTTCTTGTAGCCGAGCAACATAATGAGCTATTAATGAAAAACCATGAAAGTCGACCTACTGGTTCTTGTCCATTCCCTGAAGTGAATGAGACGAACTTCCACCAAGCTAAGCGCGGAAGAGGTCGTGGTCATGACCGTGGTCGGGGAAGAAACTTTAATCATGGTAATAATAATGCACCAAAGAACCCTCCTTACCACCAGCAGTGGAAAAGGAAGGAACAAAAGCATGAAGCGGTGCAAGCACCAAATGCAGAAAATGCATGCTATAGATGTGGAGGAAAAGGGCACCGGTCACGTACTTGTCGTACTTCAAAGCGCCTGGTTGAGATTTATCAAGCCTCCCTAAATAAGACTGAGAAAAATGTTGAAGCAAATTTTATTTCTGAAGATAATTTAGACTTCATGCATTTAGATGTAGCTGATTACCTTGCACTCCCAGATGGAGAAACAAGTCATGTGATCGGTGGTGAATCTGTAGAAATGTAAATATTTTAATTTTTGTTATTTGTAATAGATAGTATGGTTACGTAATTGTTGTACATAAAGAAAAATTATGATTTGATAATGATGTTTACTATAATATATCTTATTTATGTCATTTTGAAGAATATGGATAACATTATTAGATCAACTTAAACTCTAGCAGAGTTTGCAAGAAATATACAACCACCAGAAGTGGTTATATTTCGTATATCTCATTGTAATTATATTTTGTTAACCACCAGAAGTGGTATATGCCTATGATCACCAGAAGTGATAATTTAGGCTTTATATGGTTACAATTGAAGATAAGCTACATAAATATTCTCTATATTAAATGCACCCCTCGATTTGCTCCTGAAGTAGTAAATATTTTAAAAGAGGATGAGGCATCACAATTTGATGTGATTAATGCGCATTCAGATAATTATGTTCGATTTTCCTGAAAGATGAGAACTTTTGATAATAATAATCCATTCCCTGAAGTGAATGTGACAATATTAATAAATCTGGTAAATATGAACGCGCTCTTGATGTAAATATATTACAATTCACCTCCAGAAGAGGTAATATAATTGAGAGAATATATACTTAATATTTCGTATTTTAAATTTGCTCCTGAAGAAATAATACAATTGAAATTGCCTCCTGAAGTAGGAAAATATTATGAAGAGGAGTTTTCTTATGCTTAAACAATTGTTTATTTGATTGTGATTTTCTCTTATGATACCAGAAGTGTCTGAGCAATATTTGATAGTCCAAAATGTATCAACAACTCCTGAAGAGCTAACTGTTTGCCTAGAAGACACATGACACCAGTAGTGTCCGATAAATATTAGATTGTGGATAATAAATGAAGGCTCTCGAAGAGCTTATTTACAAATATGTCATTCATATTATATGATTATGGTCAAAACATATGTTGTAGTAAACCCGAAATTTACTAAAATAAATGGCTATCATATTGAGACTATAAATAATTGGAAGATTGAAAATCTTCATGTTTCCACAATCATAGGGGGTAAAATAATATGTATATGAGAAGTTACCCGCCTTATTCTTCGATTTGTACTACATCATATATCACGGTAAACCAGAAGTTTACTAATACAAAAGTAGCCACAGTAAATCAGAAGTTTACTAATGCAAAAGTTTATGTCATAGTAAACCAGAAGTTTACTAAGAGATATCACATGCCATGATAAACTTGAAGTTTTCATTTGCCATTTTTAAATGAGCTATTTGAGAATTTAGATAAGCATATACTGAAGAACTAGAAGATTCTTCAAGAATTCTCCTGTGTTGCTTGTTCTCATAATAAATTGATTATACCAGCTAAAGTTGGGACTAAGACCCCTGATTCTGAAATATATAAAAGGTGAATATGGGTTCATTCACCTATCATGTGAACCACTTATAGATGCATATATAAGATGGTTACATGTATGTTTATTGTCAACCTGCAGTTTGGCATTTGAAATTGCTTTTCTCACTTAAGAGCATAATTTTCAGATTCTGAAATCAAGACGGTTCATCTTGATAATGCTGGTTTATATACAAGCTAGTTTAGCAGTGAATACCTCCTATTAATGGCTAAACTATTGTTTATGAGAACAAAGCTTCATGTGTTGGTCTAAGATTTTCTAAATTGCATATAGCAGCTGATGTTCTTAACGTCAATACCACACAAGAGGGGGGGGGGGGGGAGAGTGATTTGTGTGGTACCCAATTTTCGTTCTAGAAGAACCTGGTTCTTCTATGTGTACTTACTACTACTGTTTGCGGAATTAAGAGTACATAAAATAAAGAACACAAAGATTTTTACGTGAAAAACACCTGGCTCAAAAGGTAAAAAAAACCACGACCTACTGCTCAGTAGGATTTTCCCAAACTTCCACTAAAATCACTGAGCCAAAACAGCATTTACAAAACTCTTGTAAACCTAAGGATTAAACTTTAATCCCAGTGTAGCACACAGCCTCAACTCTTGCGACACCTTCAAGTTAACTCTAACTTGAATACTCAAAGTACCTAATACAATTGCTTCTATGAAAGCTGGAACGGTACAACTTTAAAACACCTACTACAATTGAAATAAAATAAAAGAAAGACACAATGGAATTGGTTCTTCTATCTTGTCCAAGTAGCTTCAGGAATGCACACTTGAATCTCACATAAATTGCTTGCAAAATTGCCTCGCTCTTTTGCTCTCAATTTAGTTTAACTTCTGCGTTTGTGCAATACCTGTAAAAGAGAACAATTACTGTTATTTAATGAATTAGTAATCAGAGTTTGATTGAGACTCAATTGCTGATCTTCCATCGCAGTTGAGTCCTTGAACAATACAAACTCCAACCCTATCCTTTATCAGGATTGTGTCCTCTTCCCATGAGAAGACTTTCTCTCCTCATCCAATATGCAACCTTTTCTATTAGTTCAGGAGATATTGCTGCTTGATGACTGAGACTTATCTCCTTCACGTGTATCTCACATGTCTAGGTTGTTAAATACTGTGCCTCACATGATGGACCTGGTCCATGACTGAGTTCATTTGTCATTCTTCAAAACTTCAATTGGAATGACAACTCCCTAGAGTCTACAAATTAAATTATTTCGGGATTATGGTCTTGAGATTATAATATATGGATTAACTTATCCCACCCGAGTGATAGAATAAAATAATAATACCAAATTTGATGGAATAAGGTGGAATAAGATGGAATATCCATAATCGAATCAATTCCCTATATGCTCATTCATGTTATGTAAATTACTCAAGAAAGTCACTTTTTTTTAGGACTATAAAATCACTCATGTTTGCCTATATATCTCAAGAGGTCACTACTCACTTACTCACTAGAATAATTTCATGTCATTTAATATACCTATTTATACAAGAATAACCTATTTTTTAGTCCACAATATGTAATTCGATCCAAGATCCAAGATATATGTTAAATGACTGTTTTTCAGGGACACTTTTCAAAATCTTATCTATATCTATACTATATTAAAAATACGAAGACCCTTAGTGAAATGTTATTTGCCTTTTTTACCCTTCAAAAATTAATTTCACACTAGACAAAATAGTCATTTAATTATTTTCTCCAATATTTAGGCCTATGAATTAAATCATTTCCTTATTGAAATTAGGTAAAAACTCCTAATATTTGGGAATTTAAATCGAGTAAATTCTACCCTTCTGGTTGTTATAAAAGTGCTAATCTAAATAGGAATCGATTATAAATGCACATATCTATACTATATTAAAAGCACGAAGGCCCTTAGCGAAATGTCGTTCGTCTTTTTTGCCCTTTAAAAAAGATATCACACTAGATAAAATTGTCATTTACCCTTAACATCAAATAAAACTATATTTATTAAAACTTCCCATATTTGAATTATTATGTAGGAAACACTAATATTTAGGACATTAAAATCAACTAAATTTCTTTCATGTACAAAGTAAAGTTCTAATTTAGGACCAAATATATTAACTAACTTACGTTGAAATACATTAGAAACTCAAAATCTTTAATATCTCTCCAGAAACCATTAGACTTAGGATTCAAAACCATTAACGGAAAAAATTGAACAACTACTGAAACTTTTTTTTATTTGAAGAAAAGAGGTTCTAATTAATAACAATTTTTATGTTATTAATTTTTGGAGTTGAAAACAATTTAATTCTATCTTGAAAAGGTATTTTTCTCTTTTCGTTACGTTATATTTTAAGAATTAAATATAATTTAATCATTTTTGAAATTTTTTTTTTGTTTATTTTACTTCTCACCTAGATCAGCGATATCAATATTCATCATTTCAATAACTTATATATTTTTTAAACTTTTATTTTATAACTTAAATATGTTATTTTAATAATATTTCTATATTTTGAAATAATTATATAGTTATTGATATAGGTATATGCACAAAACGTGTACCTTAAGTACAAAGGTCATTAGCCCCTTTAAAAATATATTTTATATTGGACAAAGTAGTAATTTTAGTTATTTTCCTAATACAACAACAACAACAACAACAACAACAACAACAACAACAAATCCAGTATGATCCCAATAGGTGGGGTCTTGGAAGGGTAGTCTGTACGCAGACCTTACCCCTACCTAATGTAGGTAGAGAGGCTCTTTCCAATAGACCCTCGGCTCAGGAAGGGAAAGAAGAAGAAGAGGAAAGCAAGGAAGGAAGAAAGAAGGAAGATAAAAGAAAAAGGGAGAGATAAATGATAAGTAGTACCAAATAATAGCAACGGTGAATACAATACCTGAGATGAACAAAACCACATAACGTAATAAAAATCTAAGAATATGAAGGGACATGGATGCTACTAAGATTATCGGTGAACAACTAAAAACTACCCACTAACCTTCTACCTTAATCCTTGACCTCCACACCCTCTTATCAAGGGTCATGTCCTTAGTGAGCTGAAGCAGCGCCATGTCCTGTCTAATTACCTCTTCCCAGTACTTCTTAGGCCTACCTCGACCTCTTCTCAAACTCTCCATGGACAACCTCTCACACCTCCTGACAGGAGCATCAATGCTTCTTCTCTTAACATGTCCGAACCATCTCAACCTCGACTCTCGCATCTTGTCCTCTATGGAGGTTACTCCTACTTTGTCCCGGATAGCTTCATTCTTAATCATATCTCTCCTGTTACACCCACATATCCATCTCAACATTCTCATCTCTGCTACTTTCATCTTCTGCACGTGGGAGTCTTGACTGGCCAACACTCAACCCCATACAGCATAACCGGTCGAACCACCACTCGATAAAACTTACTCTTAAGTCTTGGCGGCACATTCTTATCACATAAAACACCGGAAGGGAGCCTCCACTTCATCCATCCCGCTCTGATGCGATGTGCGACATCTTCGTCAATCTCCCCCTTACCCTGGATAATAGACCCGAGATACTTAAAACTCGCCCTCTTGGGGATAACTTGAGCATCAAGCTTAACCTCTACGTCTGCATCATGGGTT